TTAAACTACTAGATTGTGTATGTATACTACGAACAGTACATAAACAGAATGAGCTACAAGAAGCACGTACTATAATTGAGGAAATACTGAATACTGAAGATAGGACACCAAGCACTATAATACTGTAGTGCAAATAGTCCATGATAACATCATTACCTCAATAAAATTAAAGTATCTGGAGGAGCCGAAGGTGTTCCTCAAAATTTCTTGTTCAGTTCTCTGTCCTTCGCCCACATACAGCACTCCTACTTTGTGAGTCTCCTGAGGCCTGATTAAATCTATTATTTTCAGTGCTCGTTGGATTTCTAAACTCTCCATCGGAAGTGGTAGTGCACGCTCACCAGGGTTTGCTAGTTGTCCGTGGTAAAGCAGCTGAAGAAACACATTACTGACGAGAAAATAAAAACTTATTGAAACGATTTGCACTAGTCTTAATTAGCCAACTGGGACCGAATTTCCAATATTTCGTTCATTACTATTAACATTACTGAAAAATAAAATAGATATACACACTACTGAAACACCATATACAATATTAAAGGCATCAAAGAGGGAGTGAGGCACTAGTATTTCAGGTTACTTGATGCGGAAGTGGACATGTGCTCTCCTTTCTTGGGTCAAACCTGAATACCTCTCATTCCCCCCTCCCCCCACAGGCGCTGTATGAGCCCCCTATGGATTTAGCGCTCCCGCATGAAAAAAAGGGGGGGGTTAGGCAGGAAAATTCTTAAAGTTTTGGAGGCTAAGGAAGTTTGACAGTTTTCCCTGACGACATTTTACGAAAGTGGTATATACAGGAGTGATACAAGGCTATTACAATGTATGCAAAATTGTTAGGAAAATACGATTATAATCATGGGGAGCGCTAAACCTGTAGGGATTATACAGCACCTGTGTGGGGGGAGGGATGGAAGGCATTCAGGCTTAATTCAGGGAACTTGAGCACATATTCAATTCCCCGGATCAAGAGCCCCTCACCAGCGTCAAGGAACCTTCCTTGAGAGGAAAATGCGAAGTTATAAGGAGTGTCTTGAAGGGAGCGGCAATGTTAAATCGGATGCCACAAGATCAGTACACTTTTTTTTTTATTAATTATGAAAAAGTTGCTGGAAGGACGAGGAAACAAATTTGCCGACCGATAAAATGTACAATATAAATCCCCATAGCATAAATCTGATGAATTGAGCAAATGGTGAATGCTGGATGAATTTCATGTACATTAATGTCAGGCCACGTAAGACTCAGAAAATATTATGTATCAAAAAGATGGAGATCTGGAACATCTGGAAAAATTGAGAACAGATCATGTAAATGAAATTGAGAAAATCTTACTACGCTGGCAAGTTATAAATATATATATGGAAAAATGTTAAGGCTAGTCACACCATATTAGGCCAAAATTAGAATGCTTCTGCTCTGATGCATTGGGTTTAATATAAAGCGAAATTTCACTAAAATGTGCATTTTCCCCATTTCAAAAAAAAATCCAGACAAGCCCGAGGGTCACGAAAAATGCCCATTTTATAAACATTAAACATTTGTTATGGCAGAGCAATTCAAGAAAAATAACTTCACTGCCACCACCTCTGGCTTCATCTCTAAACGTAGACTGACATCGTAATGCAGTCTAAACCATAACATACCCATCAAACATCTTAGTCCGGCAGCCACTTCTCAATTTATTGTTCAGTTTTAAATGTTCGGGTGTTCAATGTTTTTATTTGCAGTTTCATTATCCTGAGGCGTCCCTAATATAGGAAGACTGCTAACATGGAAGCAATAAAAAACTGGCACAGTATACACTGATAAGATGGCAGCCATGACAATGAATATGTTTTGTCCATTTCATACGAATTTTAGATAGTTCAAATGTCTAAACTTATGCTGTCTCATCCAGAGAAAAATAAGTTATAGAGTAAATAAAATATGAAATTCATTGTGCTAGAGAATGAGCAAGCCAAACTTTGCTTAAATGAAAATAAGGATTTAAAAAAGATTGCAGTGTAATGGTTTATATAGCTGCAAGCATTTTAATGTACCATGGAAACACAGGTGGAGGACTTACACATCTCAGTAGCCGACCAGTGATAATTCAAATTCTAAGTTTATTCTCTATAAGGATTACAATGCTGAGTTTACAGAATTTGGTTATTGTGTGGTTTACATATAGTAAAATACTAATTACAGAGTGTACCACTAGAACACCTAGCATGGCTAGGCATTTCGGGCAGACTTAGATTAATTCTTAACTTTAAAATATTACAAATTATGAGGTAAGTTGGTATTATGGCTAAGTGACTAAATACTAGTTCGTGAGTTTAGCAATGTGAATGCTTTTGTTTTGGCACAATACATAGTTTCACTATTGGAGTATCACAGGCCAACTTATGACTAGTTAGGATTCATTATTTTAAGATTGAGATTGATATTTCTGTTTATCAACCGCCCAGGGAGGTACTACCGTCCTGCCAAGTGAGTGTAAAACGAAAGCCTGTAATTGTTTTACATGATGGTAGGATTGCTGGTGTCCTTTTTTCTGTCTCATGAACATGCAAGATTTCAGGTACGTCTTGCTACTTCTACTTACACTTAGGTCACACTACACATACATGTACAAGCACATATATACACACCCCTCTGGGTTTTCTTCTATTTTCTTTCTAGTTCTTATTCTTGTTTATTTCCTCTTATCTCCATGGGGAAGTGGAACAGAATTCTTCCTCCGTAAGCCATGCGTGTTGTAAGAGGCAACTAAAATGCCGGGAGCAAGGGGCTAGTAACCTCTTCTCCTGTATATATTACTAAATGTAAAAGGAGAAACTTTCGTTTTTCCTTTTGGGCCACCCCGCCTCGGTGGGATACGGCCGGTGTGTTGAAAGAAAGAAATTTCTGTTTATGGTCAAATGGGCGAGTATGAACCACCAGGTGGTATTCGTGTAATTAGTTGACGGTGTATCAGGGAGATAAGATGTTTTCTAATGGTAGTTTTGAAGGTGATGAATGTGTCTGCAGTTTTAGAGTTTTCAGGTAGGGGGTTCATGATGCACCAACAGTCAAATGGCCTTATAAATCAAATTATCACTGCCCATTCTTTCCCCATGCCACTGATATTCAACATTTTCTGGGGACAATTACCTGGGTGTTATGCCTCTTTCAATTTCCTTGGGCGGCTCCTCTTCAGAGTCCCAGTGTTCGTCATGAGCCCTGCTGCTCGGAGAACGCATGTCAGAGATGGTGTATCCTCTGTCGCGTCTCACCCGGGGGGGAGATGACGGCCCAGCACCACTAGCCTGGGACACACTGCTGCTCCTACTTGTTCTTCCCTGCATAAAATTACTAGTTAAATACAATTCATGCATGATGATGTGCAGGTAACTGCAGTAGACAAAAATAATTATTCTTTCAGTAAACTATGCACAAATTTAACTGATTAATAGTATTTCTACATCGCAAAATATGTAATCATGAATTAGTAAAACTAACTAGGTATGTTTTTGAATTATTGCCCAACACTAGCCTGTTCAAAAATTAATTTCGTGAGCATTGTTTACTTCCATATTTTTTGACTAAGCAAAATTATGTATACGAACTAGTTAAAAAAAAAGACGTGCATTTTAAATTTGGGGAACAATTCACCACAATTTTCAGTGTCAATCACATAAATGAAGGACCTGTATTCCACTACTGAATTTTCAGGCCCCATTTGCCTGTGGCCAACAGATTTCATTAAGTACCTCAGCCTTTTGTTTCGCACTTTTTGTCTTGCATTGCTCCGTCAGCTCCTGCAGGTCAAATTCCCGAGTAGTCAATGTTGGCAGATTTTTCCCCGTCAGAGTCCATGATGAATCACCTATAGAAAATATGCAAGCATTAGCATCATGCAGAACAACCATCCTAATTAACTCTGCTTAGCCACAAGAACATTAAGAATCTTACGTAATATTTACAAATTAGACTGCCACGAGTTCAGCATTTCGCCTTTAACAGGTGTTAGCCACAAAGATTGTGTGATAATGTACACCGCTATTGAATGACAAGATATTGTTTTCCCTAATATTTAGCAAGATTTCTGAAATTAGAGAAAAATTTCAGTTCCAATTGCTAATAAACAAATGGTAAACTTAGTTAAGTAGGTGCATTCATAACTGGGTTGTTCAGTCTCAAGATTTTATGGCTTAATCCCTTCAAGGGAGGTTCCTGAAGCACAGGTCAATTTCTAAGGAACTTAACCTGTAATGATTCCTTCAACTGACTTGAAATGTCTACCATTTCCCCTAGGCGTTGCATGACCTATTTAGAGCTCCCACATCAATGTAATAATTCTTATCTTCTCTCGAGTTTAGTTTCTTTGAAATGCAATTTTTTATATATGCTAGTATAATGAAAACTGCCATTTCCACTACCAATCGCAATGATACGGAAGCTGGAATACAATGTTACATCATAAGACTGCTATACCATAGGGAAATCATTACCAAAATCAGTTGGTCAGCACTGTTGATCTTGTACGACTGATGAGGGGAGGACCGAGCAAGTCTGACTGAAATGTCATCGTTATAAGTATATGTGTAGCTTATTGTGTATTGTACAAGTCCTAATACTATGACGTTCATTTATGGCAGGATTTTTTTTTTTATTAAAGCTGTATTAGATGAGAAATTCAGTTGTTGCTGTTACGGGTTATTTTGTCGAATTTTGATGCCTTTCTGTTGTGAATACTAATAAACCCTTTACCAGAGGAAGTGACAACTTCGGACCCGAAAATAGTTACTGATGACATTGAAACGCCCAAGACTCCACAGCTACGGTTATATAAAGTCCCGAAAGGATACTAATCGCTAACTCATTTAAAAGCACGAATGAACAGAGCAATCCACCACCTCCAAATTACAGTATTATTACTACCCCCACCCACCAGTTGGCTGTCTGACGGATATTTCCGCTTGTCTCCCGCACAAGCAGCCACACTGAACGACGGGGTCTTTCTGCTTGATCTTAGTGCGACGCCTAACAGCCCCTCCACTGCTTTCAAGTGGTAAACCTCTTTCACGTTCATCTGATTCCAATCTTGCAAAAGTATCTGTAGAATAAACCAAAAGATTAGCAGCAAATTTAACTAGAGAAATAGGACGAGGTAGCAACTCACTGCAGTAAAAAACTTAATACATTTCTTCATTAGCAAAGTTTTGCAGTGTTCGTAAGTGTTACTGACAGCAATTAAAGCAGCTTTATACACTTTCAGTCTTAAATCGTTTTCCTCAATTACTAGTCTAGCCTCACAATCTCATGAGGTGTCCATGATCCCTGTGTTGAACACACGCACTACTTTGTCACAGTAATTAAAATTTACATGCGCTTTCTCTTATTTTTTCTTAGTTTCCCCTTGAAAGCAGGATGACACCAAGAAAAACATTACTCATTCCTTAGGTAACTGAATAGGACAGACAGCTAGCTCACCTTCACTCTTTGTAAAGACTGGTGGCTCTAAATCTCTACCGGTTAAACTTTCCTCTGCCTGAAATTAAAATACAAAATTGTATGGGTCATACAGCTGCGATTAGGGATGTGCAAGAGTAAGGATTGATGGAGATCATGGAGTGGGGGTGAAAAATGGAGATCATGGAGAGTGGGTGAAAAATGGAAATCAAAGGGTTTGCAACATATTTCCATTAGACATCATTGTTAAATGTGGGTCGAGGTCAGTGTGTCAGGGCACCGTAGATGTTAAAAGTAAATTATGAAAGCTCTGATAGGACACTCTTAAATGCCAAACTGCCAAACTTAGTAGTGACCTAGTACTCCTGGCAGCCCTGGCTGAGGTGCCGAGTCTCTCCCCCAGTGATATTTATGCGATAGTTGTGTGCCAGATTCGTAAACCTGACAGTTACCTTGACCCAATAATGGTGGATAAATAGCTCGCAACCTAATTTGTTGCATTAACTAGAACAAATGCAATAGAACCTAGGTAGTAAGCTGGTAGACAGGAATCACCCAGGGAGGTGGTACTGTCTTGCCGAGTAAAACAAACCTGTAATTGTTTTACATGGTAGGATTGCTGGTGTCTGTCTCAAACATTCAAGATTTCGGGTACACCTTGCTACTTCTACTTACACTTAGGTCACACTGCATGCAAATATACACACACTACCTTTAGGTTTTCTACTTTCTTACTAGTTCTTGTTTATTCCTCTTATCTCCATGGGGAAGTGGAACAGAATTCTTCCTCTAAGCCATGCGTGTCTTAAGAGGCGACTAAAATGCCTGGAGCAAGGGGCTAGTAACCCCTTCTCCTGTATACATTAAAGTTTAAAAAAGAGACTAGTTTTTCTTTTTGGGGGCACCCTTCCTCGGTGGGATACGACCGGTTTGTTAAAAGAAATGCAAGAAATTTTTCAGTAGTAATCTAACTAGAAAGTTATTGCCAGTAGTTTCCAAGTAATTTAGGGAGTTTAAAACAGTTCCAGGAGGAACACCATTGCTGTAGACTGGTAGGCGACTAGATGACCAAGCGAAAGTGTTCATTCCTCTGCTCACAAGAAATGCTATTACCAGTGTTATGAAAGACAGGATATGGATAATCTAATTTCTCTATAGCTTGTAATACACTTCAGAAGTCAAAGAACTAATGACGAGGCTGCAGTGTGACAGCTATGAAGATTATGTACAACACTGCTGTGGAAAATGGTCAACTAGTAATTAATGTACTTAGAATCCTCTACGTTAAACCTACCGCGTACCCTGCATTCATCTGGGGAATTTGGAACCATCAATGCATATGGCTATAACATGTTAAAGAGTGTACTTAAGTCTGTAGTAGACAAACGAGCCTCTGGGAACAGAAGGGAGTAGCAGGTACCTTGAATTAATGTAACTTGCCAAGGGAGGAGTAAGATGCTTTGTGATCTTAAAGTAGAAGTAAGAGGCTGCAAAAGTAAATACGCTACTCTCCCTACTACGTCCCTGGCTATGATACTGGTTATACATTCTATATACAATACTGTAAACTTACACCTTGAACTGAAGAGGAAGGGAATGGAACAGACACTGAAGAGACAGGAAGTGGTGAACCAACCACCCTACGACCATGTGTTGAACCAGGCGTACCACGACCTGGACGGATGAACCAGGCGTACCACGACCCTGGACGGATGAACCAGGCGTACCACGACCCTGGACGGATGAACCAGGCGCACCACGACCCTGGACGGATGAACCAGGCGCACCACGACCCTGGACGGATGAACCAGGCGTACCACGACCCTGGACGGATGAACCAGGCGTACCACGACCCTGGACGGATGAACCAGGCGTACCACGACCCTGGACGGATGAACCAGGCGTACCACGACCCTGGACGGATGAACCAGGCGTACCACGACCCTGGACGGATGAACCAGGCGTACCACGACCCTGGACGGATGAACCAGGCGTACCACGACCCTGGACGGATGAACCAGGCGTACCACGACCCTGGACGGATGAACCAGGCGTACCACGACCCTGGACGGATGAACCAGGCGTACCACGACCCTGGACGGATGAACCAGGCGTACCACGACCCTGGACGGATGAACCAGGCGTACCACGACCCTGGACGGATGAACCAGGCTACCACGACCCTGGACGGATGAACCAGGCGTACCACGACCCTGGACGGATGAACCAGGCGTACCACGACCCTGGACGGGTGAACCAGGCGTACCACGACCCTGGACGGGTGAACCAGGCGCACCACGACCCTGGAGTGGTGAACTAGGCGTACTACGACCACTTAGTGATAAATCAGTAAGTGATGAACTAGGCACTTTTCGACCAGGGAGTGAGGAACGAGGCACTCTACGACCAGTGTGTGGATCCCAGGTCTGTGCCCCTGACTGTGTAAATCTAGAACCTCTCAAGTCTGATTCTGAAAGGCTCAACGACTTCATAGATAAGATGCCGAAGGAAGAGTCTGAAACAGCAGCTTCGGGCGGGAGGGCAGCAGCACCTTCGGGCGGGAGGGCAGCAGCAGCTTCGGGCGGGAGCGCAGCAGCAGCTTCGGGCGGGAGGGCAGCAGCAGCTTCGGGCGGGAGGGCAGCCAGATTTCGTGGAAGTGATACAGGTATTGACTCTGGCTGGAGGTATGCCGATTCAGGCGAGATATAAACTGGGACCGGATCAAACCGAACAGATGGCTGACACCTTTCAGGACAGAAGTATGTCAAGGACCTCTCGGGTGATAAAGGCGTCAGGGAAGAATCGGACGATTCAGATATCAGGGTCGTTTCAGGCAAGAGGGGAGCCTGGGTGGCTTCAGGAGAGGCAGACGGCTCGGTCCCTTCAGCAGAGGCAGACGGCTCGGTCCCTTCAGCAGAGGCAGACGGCTCGGTCCCTTCAGCAGAGGCAGACGGCTCGGTCCCTTCAGCAGAGGCAGACGGCTCGGTCCCTTCAGCAGAGGCAGACGGCTCGGTCCCTTCAGCAGAGGCAGACGGCTCGGTCCCTTCAGCAGAGGCAGACGGCTCGGTCCCTTCAGCAGAGGCAGACGGCTCGGTCCCTTCAGCAGAGGCAGACGGCTCGGTCCCTTCAGCAGAGGCAGACGGCTCGGTCCCTTCAGCAGAGGCAGACGGCTCGGTCCCTTCAGCAGAGGCAGACGGCTCGGTCCCTTCAGCAGAGGCAGACGGCTCGGTCCCTTCAGCAGAGGCAGACGGCTCGGTCCCTTCAGTAGAGGCAGACGGCTCGGTCCCTTCAGTAGAGGCAGACGGCTCGGTCCCTTCAGTAGAGGCAGACGGCTCGGTCCCTTCAGTAGAGGCAGACGGCTCGGTCCCTTCAGTAGAGGCAGACGGCTCGGTCCCTTCAGTAGAGGCAGACGGCTCGGTCCCTTCAGTAGAGGCAGACGGCTCGGTCCCTTCAGTAGAGGCAGACGGCTCGGTCCCTTCAGTAGAGGCAGACGGCTCGGTCCCTTCAGTAGAGGCAGACGGCTCGGTCCCTTCAGTAGAGGCAGACGGCTCGGTCCCTTCAGTAGAGGCAGACGGCTCGGCCCCTTCAGTAGAGGCAGACGGCTCGGTCCCTTCAGTAGAGGCAGATGGCTCGGTCCCTTCAGGAGAGGCAGATGGCTCGGTCCCTTCAGGAGAGGCAGATGGCTCGGTCCCTTCAGGAGAGGCAGATGGCGTAGTTTCAGGAGAGGCAGACAGCGTAGTTTCAGGAGAGGCAGACAGCGTAGTTTCAGGAGAGGCAGACAGCGTAGTTTCAGGAGAGGCAGATGTCTCGATCGTTCCAGTAGCGGCAGAGGCCTGGGTCGTTTCAGCTGGAAAAGTTTCCAGAGGATTGATCATTCGAGGGGTGACTGACAGCGCTGTCAAAACTTTCAAATCAGTTAGAAAAAAATATGGTTAGTCTGGACAAACTGATTTTTAACACTAAATTTTAAACTTTTTTTTATTTTTTTTAGAATTTAATGTATTCAGCTCACCCCTCCCAACAAACTTAATTTACGAATGGCTCTATTTATCCAAATTTATTAGTGTATTTAGTCATTAAGACTCACTTTGCCTTAGATGCGCCCGAATCGTAGGTTGCGTGTAACTTATTGTATAATATTACACATGTACCCATCTGCTACCAGTGTTACATTATCCTAGTGGTAAATATACTTGTCAGTGAGCGGCAGGGAAGTGACAAGTTTACAGGCCAAACAGAAGAGGCTAGTGCCACCTTATTGAACAGTAAAAATTAAAAAAAAAAATATGAAATTAAGATTGCGAGGGAATCAGATCAATATCAATGTTTCCTGTAATGATCTGTATATTTCGATCTCAGAAAGGGATCGAAATATACAGATCAATTAATCTTCCGAGTGTACATGGATTATTACTGAGCACTGACAAGAGTTCATTATACTTTAGTTATCCATGTAGCAATAAGATTAGGGACAAAGATAAGCTGACTTGAATGTAACTCAAGTTAGCTTACGCTAATGAAAAATGTGCAGTATTGTCAACACTCATTTCCTTTGCTTTTACACAAGAGGATACGAACGAAATACCAGATAATTATACCAGTTAGGAGGAAAATTATGCAGTACTAGTCACTAGTGACACTGTCTTTCAAGTAGTTTGGATCAGGTAAATACCAAGTCCACAGGTCCTGGTTACCAGTTTTCACGTGTTCTAAAGGAATGGCAGCAGCGGCTTCTTAATAAACCATCAGATAGTATCTTCCACACATTACATTCATGCATCATACTCTGGTAATAAGCTTTAAGCCATCCACAAATACTATACAAACTGAACTTCACAAAAAATTCTAAATCACCAATATACAGTGTTTTGTCGAAGAAAATTCCTTAACCTAATAGAAAAAAAAAAGTTATTTAAAGTTTTATGAAGTCTAACCATGTTTCAAGCCTCTCCTCGGAAGGCAGATGTCTTCACACACTTCACAAAATCCGCTTTTCAGAGCATATTGAGTACAGCCTGACGTCGAAATGGTTATTATTTTGTATCCGACTATCCATGTTTTAGTTCGACCTCCTTCCATGACGCTTCTGAAATTTAAACTCCAATATATTCTGGAAAAGTGGAGGGAGGGACGGGGGGGGGGGGGGAAGGGGCGATGATTCATGTTAGGCGTTAATAATTATGGGAAGAAATCACAGTGCTTGAGAAAACATACGAAAAGTAAAGGTTGGGTTTTATGTACATTTATTGTGTGCACACCCGCCAACACCACCCGCCAACACCACCCACCAACACCACCCACCAACACCACCCACCAACACCACCCACCAACACCACCCACCAACACCACCCACCAACACCACCCACCAACACCACCCACACATTTCACTTCAACATTTACTATAGCTAATAAACTTGGAATCCCTGGATTGCTTGAGTTTACCGACAGTTTACATCAGGTCGGTATCAAATTTACAACTTACATCACTAGTGTAGAAGGAAGCTTCGCATTTTGAGCCGTGAAAAAATGAAATGTCCTAAGTATTTCCTGTAAAATACCTGGAGAATGTTTATTATAACTAAAAAAAAAAAAGGGGGGGAGGGGACTTTGGGTTGATTGTTAGGTCGTAATGCCTATTTGCCAATTTTATTTAATTTTGGAAAATTTGAAGGGCTGTTTTCCCATGCAATAACTGGTGAATGTGTCACCCGATCAGCTTTAAACCTAAAACTCCGATAACGCGACTTCTCAACATTTGACTATTGTTCCGTTATAACTAGAATGATTCGTCTGATCGTCTTTGAACTTTCAAAACTGGTGCATCTTACTGTGTACTAGGTTTGAATATTTTGGGCTGTGTAGTAACCTGCCATTTTCATTGAAGAATTGAGTACAGTATTAGTTTCCACGAGATATGGAATGGTATAACGTAGTGATTCAACCTTCTCTAAACCCACACCAAGAAAATGTTTGATTACTGTAGCAACCACTATGTAAATGGTGTCATATGAAGATTAAGTCAAATATGCAATATTTATGATAAATCTTTTATTCTGCATTTTAATGAAGGTAAAAACCTGGAATATCTAAAACCGAAATGTCGTCTCTCGCCCTTGGGGTGTGCCCCCCCCCCCCACCCCAGGTTGGGAACCCCTGGTATAACAAGTTGCAATGGGTGAAATCATTGGGTTAATAAGAAAATGTAATTTTCAACGGCTTGGAGAAGTGCAGAAGCTGAGGAATGAAAATCTCCAAGCCGTTGAAAATTACATTTTCTTATTAACCCAATGATTTCACCCATTGCAACTTGTTATACCAGGGGTTATACCAGTGCAGAAGCTGAGGAATGAAAATAGTAAATAATGTGTATAAGAAATGTGAAGTAAACAAGAGTAATTTCACTACTGCACTCTCCTAAAGCAAAGTACAAGAGTGTATATGGAATATCTATCAGTAGTGATGTACAAGATGGTGCAGCATATGAGTATTTTAAATTTGTAAGCTTTTCGCCAGTTAGTGGTTATCTATACAAGGACAATGTGAAGAATAGAACTATATACGAAGGATGAGGTAGTCAGTCCCTCAACCCTGGAAGCTGAGGGACTGATTACTTTATCTTTTGTATATAGTTCTACATTCTTTTATGTCCTTTTGTAGATGAAGTCAATAGATTGCGAAAAGTCTACAAATTTAAGATACTCAGAGGCTTCACAAGTGTCTTCCTTCAATTGTGGTGAAAGGATTTAACAATCAGGTCTGAAAATTAAGGATTTTCGAAGTCACTTCTGGAAAGGAAAGCCCATGTGACCACAAAAATCATTTAAACAAAGCAGAAAATGTCTTTCAATTATTTTTTATGATGCTAATCCATTTTAGACATTAAAAAAAAAAATATCAAAAGTCCAGCTTTCAACTGCATTTATAACTTCATGGACATACATTTATCTGTACATATCTGCTGGTTGCTCAAAGAAAATATTTTAGTACGTTACCCTTTTGTATAAGGTGAACACACTCCATCTGTACACCTTGACATTAAGTCGATACAGGTATCTCTCAAGTCATTGAAATAGTCTATCATATCCTGTGCTTTCTTCAATTCCTCTTCCCTCTCCTTGGCCTGAATTTTCTTGGCTTTGGCTTTCACCTGTAAAATATTAATGGCTAAAGTAAAACAATGAAAGTTACAGTACTGTGGCGGTCACAATTCACAACCGAGAAACTCAAGATGGAAAAGAATACTTCAGTCCAGCCGTGACTTACCAAGCAGCAGCCTTGATGATGATCCAGGATGGACAGATTAAGTTTAATCTCAGATAAACATTGCAGTACATTATGGTAGCAGATTTTAAAGGCACAGCTGCAAAACTAAATCTTGTACGTATTTATCGAACCTTGCGGCAAACGGTTATAACAAAATTCTAATCGAAAGCTGAAATGAACTCAAAATTAAGTAGGGGAACCAGGGTAAGTGATCCAAAATTTAAATCTACTGGGTAACAGGCTCAAAAATTGCACAAATTATTTAACAAGCGAGGCAAATAATGAAAATTATATTTTTTAGTACATACTTTTCAGCTTTTATGACTATTCTCCATACAAATGGATTGAATAAACTATTTTGAGTTTGAATGTTCCTTGTGTTCTCCGGATTCTGTGGACTTTCAAGTCTAGTGGGTAATTTCGCTGTACACACTTGCTTTGGGCTAATACCCAATAAAGCTCACCGACCTTTGACGGTAGAACATTGGAGTGTTAATTTACAAACTGCTGTTCGAGCCCCTCGTCCACTCTTCTGTTTATTCACTGAAAGCAATAATCATTAACAATTAGTAACTGGTACAACTGGCAAACTCTTGTCGACTCTGTGGTAGAATTGGTAAGGCGAGGCTGTGGTCAGTATGCATGCTGGAATTACAAGTTGAGTCGACACACTCCTGAGGGCCTCTTGTTACTGTGCCTGAGTAGATGGTAGTGAAAGGTTTTAGCTATGATGACACTTGCTGCATCATAACGTTTAGCAGCTGTAATATTAGTACTGGTTTTAAAAGTCCAAAACTTTCGTCACTACTGTAGTGTCCCAGTCCAAAGCACATCACAGGTCAGCATTTCAGTCCAGGGGCACATCACAGGTCTTACAGAGAAGTTAGGGACCCTTTACGACTCGAGAATTAAGATAGTTTATAGCAGTGGTCACAGATCTGGCTATGGAGGCGTTGATCCGCGAAACCTCCTCCAGGTACACTCCAGGTAGTAGTACCTTTGGCTCACAGCCGAGGTACTGGCATTCTACCCCAGGAGACTCGAGAAGTGGGCGAGGGTGTATACACAAGTTGACCCCCTTCCCCCAATCTCTGTTCACTTAAAATAGTTCTGTGGGTGACAGCTGACTGTTTTGATCCCATCCTAGGGGTAAGTGTACCTTAAAGAAAGTTGATCTTTGAAATGTGTTAAGTAGGGTAACAGCTAAGCCTATAAGATAAATTTTAAATGCTAGTGTTGAAAGAACGACGAACGCAAACTTCACCTTCCATTCTACACACCTGTTTTAGTGCAAGTATCACTGGGCTTGTCAACAGTTATTTGTGTAGCATTACACATTTCCTGGTAACATTTATAGGCAGGCTTTCTGGCCAAAGCAAGTCACGTGACCTACCCTTCACACAGGCCTCTACCTCAGACTACCAGCCATAGCAGGTGTGCAAACCTGACAGGTTGGGTTAATCTTTTTAACATATCACTACAAACTGGCATAGTGCCTGATAAGTGGAAAATGGCAAATGTAATACCTATTTACAAGGCAGATAACAGGTCCTTGGCTTCGAACTATAGACCAATAAGCCTTACCTCCATAGTGGGAAAATTTATGGAATCAATAATTGCCGAAGCAATTCGTAGCCATCTTAATAGGCACAGTTTGATTAATAAATCTCAACACGGTTTTACAAAGGGACATTCCTGTCTTACGAATTTACTAACTTTTTTCACTAAGGTGTTTGAGGAGGTAGATCATGGTAATGAATATGATATTGTGTAGATGGACTTCAGTAAGGCTTTCGATAAAGTTCCACATCAGAGGCTATTGAGGAAACTTAGGCACACGGAATAGAATTTTTTTCCTGGGTAGAGGCATGGCTGACAAATAGACAGCAGGGAGTTTGCATAAACGGGGAGAAATCAGAATGGGGGCACGTCACAGGCGGTGTTCCTCAGGGGTCAGTGTTGAGAATAAATAGCGACATAAGCAAATTTGTTGATGACGCCAAAATAGGCCGTCCAATTCATTCTAATGAGGACACTAGAACACTCCAGGATGATTTGAATAGACTGATGCAATGGTCGGAGAAGTGGCAGATGCAGTTTAATATTGACAAATGCAAAGTTCTAAATGTTGAACAGTTAAATAACCATGCCACATATAAACTAAATAATGTAGATCTTAATACTACCGATTGCGAAAAGGATTTAGGAGTTCTAGTTAGCAGTAATCTAAAACCAAGACAACAGTGCATTAGTGTTCGCAATAAAACTAACAGAATTCTTAGCTTCATATCTAGAAGTATAAATAATAGAAGTCCTCAGGTTGTTCAACTCTATATATCCATGGTTAGGCCTCATTTAGACTATGCTGCTCAGTTCTGGTCACCGTATTACAGAATGGATATAAATGCTCTGGAAAACGCACAGAGGAGGATGACAAAGATAATCCTATGTATCAGAAATCTTCCCTATGAGGACAGACTGAGGGCTATGAATCTGCACTCTCTCGAAAGGCGTAGAATTAGGGGGGATATGATCGAGGTGTATAAATGGAAAACAGGAATGAATAAATAAAGGGGATGTAAATAGCATGCTGAAAATTTCCAGCCAAGACAGGACTCGCAGCAATGGTTTTAAGTTGGAAAAATTCAGATTCAGAAAGGATATAGGAAAGCACTGGTTTGGTAATAGAGTTGTGGATGAGTGGAACAAACTCCCGAGTACAGTTATTGAGGCTAAAACGTTGTGTAGTTTTAAAAATGGGTTAGATAAATACACGAGTGGGTGTGGGTGGGTGTGAGTTGGACCTGACTAGCTTGTGCTGCTGGGTCTGGTGCCGTGCTCCATCCTTGAGTGGAGGTGACCAGACTGGGTGAGTCATTGGGCTTATCCCGGGGGATGGGTCATTAGGCTAATCCGGGGGGGGGGACATGAACCTGCTCCGCATGAGTCAGTAGGCCTGTTGCAGTGTTCCTTCTTTATGGTCTTATGTTAACTTTTTTTCCTCCCACCATCGCTCCTGTAAAGAACCCCCGTAACATACTAATTCCTCGACATTGCAATGTAAGATAACTATTCACTAATTGTAGAAGCCTCCAATTGTGCGCTCAACCACTAAATATATTACAGAACTTAAATAGTTACTTATCACTTAAAATGAATATCCTACTTTCACAGCTGCTGCCCTTCTCTTCTAATGGAAATATTCACCACTTTTTTTTTTTAGGGGGGGGGGTTGTCGTTTACCTTGGTCATGATCTTCAAAAGATTCAAATAATTTAACTACCTTACAAAAAATTATAAACACTTACTTTTGTTTTTTTCTTATCTGTGGAACTCGAAGTTTTCATGGACGTCACTTCACTTAGAATCTGGTCTAAACCCTGGCAATATATGAACGATTTGAAAGAACATTCAATGAAACAAATTGAAAATGGTACGTAAATACAAATTTTATTAGAGAAACTCAGAACTATGCAATTCTTCGTACCAAATGAACTATTTTTAAACACCACATAAGTACAAGAAAATGTGAGAGGACGCAGTCTAGCAACAAGACCAGGACGACCAACAAATGATCTGTCAAGTTTTTAAACGTAATGATCAGCTTCATGAGTCAGAACAGGTTAGGCCAAAACTAATATGAAGCAGTTGTACAGTGCTGCATATTAATTCTTTGTCTTTATGAAATTAACTTCCTCTTCACCTGTGTATTTCTAACTTCCACGAACCTGGCAAGTCTCTGGGTTGGAAAGTTCCGTATATTGATTCCAAGTTGATCTAACCAGGATAAAGGGTATTCCAGTATAAACTAAGTATATAGCTTTGAAATACTGATTCTGGGAGGACCTTACCTGAGTTATGAAGCTTACAAAGTCCTTCCTAAATGCCACTCTACACTTGATAAACCACATAGCAATGACACGGTAGGCCAGGGAGATTATGTAGTAGTTGAACTTCTCAGGATTGGTATAAGATAAAGCAATGGCAAAGGCTTCCTTGTAATGTTCTGTCACAAAGTTGCAATATACATTGGGAAAGTGCAGGAGAGCTGAAAAGAAATTTTTCGAAATTAAACTGCAAAAAGTAATACATCTGATATGTACTTCTATCAGCACAGAGAACTTTCATATATTACGTTCATCTGTTAGCAATATTTGGCCACTTTAGTTTCGCAAGCAAGCTTCACAATTTTGCGTTAGGTATCAGTCTAAAAAATTATGTAACTTAACACACGAATACAATGTATTTACTTGAAAGGAATTCCATCATTGCCCGGGAATTAGAGACAGTGGCAGAGATCCTGGCGAAGCTGAAGATCACTTTATTGATGACCTTAACCATGGAGGCTTCCATCTCTAAGAGACACAGTGTTATAGAACTCACACACAACGGTCCTGAAATCTTGTTTATTATACCATTCTGTAAACATCCAATTATCTGAAAGAAATTCGTACCATCAATATCAAAATATAGAAAGTATTATCTTCGCTTTGATTCTAAAATAGCTTATAATATAGTATTAAAGGCGTCCTGTTGATGGACTGGCATTATGTACTTTATTATAATTAATTCATTGGATGAAATGGATTGCATTATTCTTTTTCCTCTTATTTAAAATCTTTCTCCAACTCTCGCGACAAATCTGGAAAGTAAAGACTAAAAAAAAATTAGGCGAATCAAATATAAAAGGAATATATAGTTAATACTCACGAGGCAACATTCTACCTTTATTATCTGTGTATATAATTTACTTTAAATGCATGGTTAATTACATTAGAGAACATTAATATGTACATTATACTTAATTACCTTCAACTGGACAATGGGTTTCAAATGATGTTTGTGTGGGATCAACATTGTCAACACCGGGTAGACGTGACTGTGGAAGTCTGACATTGTGAATGCATTTGGTACATTATACAAGGACGCTGGTAAACCCAGGCTTCTATCCATAATCTAAAGGAAGAAAAGCTTATATATTAACTCCATTTATATATTTAAGTAAATTTTCTTTATACAGAATTTGCAGACGATTATAAATATTCCGCATCAAGAATGAGAATTTAACAATTCAGCATCTTTGATGAAAAAATTTCAAGGGAGAACAGCGAGTGATGGGAAGGATATTGTAGAACTTACAGAACTGTCATACTTAAGTTTTAAGAGTTTATGACAGAACTATACACAAACACTAGTCAAAACTATAAATAATCTGACCTAGCATAAAATTATCCAAGTCTACATTACTCACAGCAGGTGAGAATATTTAATTTCACACAATCTAGAACGTATACAGGTATAGAATGTGTGTTAGTGGTTCTGGGAATGATTCCAGAGCCCGGCCTCAGGCAGGTCTTTAAAAGTAACTGAAGAAATTCACAACTAAGAAATATTAATAAGCAGAGGAAAGTAAAATTCGTACGTAATGTATATTTACGTCATTTAATGTCATTTACGTTCACTAGACAGGAAAGACAGTAATCAAAGCATAAAAAACACTAATGCCTTATAAATTGATGAAATTTATTAAAAAAAAAAAAACGCTCCAATGGTTTATTTTTGCTCTTGAGGAAATAAACAGTGGCGGAGGAGACTGCAACATGGGCAGTTAACAACAATGCACGCTAACAAGGACTGCATACTCAGTGTTCATGGTAAGAGTACTAACCAAGGACATCAGCGCAGATGCAAGAAAATCCAAGTCACTGTTGCCAATAGCTGGGATGAGAATCTTGTTCTCCAGTACCTTCAGCAACATGCCTAGCACAGCGCCCAGCACCAACCAATCTAGAGTTAAAATAAGTTTATTTAAAACTAGCAGACAAATTGTGAAACATTAAAATACACCTGACAAACCTTACCAGAATAACATTTCACGCGAGTTCTTTAGATTCACAGTCATGTGAAGTAAATACACATTAAACACATTAAGTTCTAAAACAAATTTAGGACAATTAAATTAGATAAATCATGAAGTTAAGAGATCGAATACTTCACAAGATTGTTAGAGAGAAAAGGTTGAAGACGCTACCGAATGTGAAGAATAATTGAACCAAGAGGTCAGGGGAATTCGATCACAATATCCGAGAAAATACAAAGATAATTTTGGTTCCACTTCTGCTCACCAGGTTACCAGCGACTGATGTGCGTTACATTCAGGTGAAAATAGTGTCATGTAAATATGCAAACCTCCAGATCTGTTAAAGTCTTATCCTGGGCAAGAGTAGAAAAACTCCCAACCTGCTGGAATTAGTATTAGATGAAAGGTATACACAAAGCAGTATAGAATATAGAAAGATTAAAATAAAATATTTATGATGATTTGGTATAATATAGAAAATGTAACAATGCCTCTGATTTAACTTTTAATAAAGTTAAAAATTATATTTGCACATTCCACTGTGCTCTTGGACAACTTTCAGAAATTTTGTATTTATCAAGTTTTAACACACTTTTAGAGTTAACATGTATTAATATAGCAGATTCCTTCTATCCATTATTTATACAAACACACAGTTTAGGTATGGATACAGATCGCAGGTTCCTCGAGATCGGAATATATTTTGTACCAAGTGTACAACCCACGATGGTTATCTCTAAGTGATCTCCAAAACTATTTTGAACGTTGGAAGATCCTACTCTAAGTTTTAAATTGACACATTGACAAGTAACAGTTATCTGAACAAATAAAATTTATTAAAACATTAAAATTCCTTTAGATCCTAAGGCCAATCAGAAAAAAATCTGGACTTTTCACCCGATATAACTAACGTTTTGACGACACTAGGGTCGATGATCTTGCGTACTCACCTAACACTGATTAATGAGTAATAACTTTTTTTTAAATATTCATCAAATTCATTAAATTCAGTTTCTCATACAGTCAGCCCGACAACCGGAATTCAAATTAAAGTATATACTCGAATACAAAGATAAATAGAAATTTTTGTGGAAAAAAATATTTACCCCTCTCTTGCTGGAGTACAGTAATGATTAGTCTTCTGGCCTTGGTGAAAGAAAAGAGTGATTGGTCGTTCTCATTTACTCTCCTCTGAAAGTTCCCTGTGAAGCTTACAACTCTCACTCTCCTCCTCAACCAACTGGATATTTCTGTAGATAAATTTGTCTTATAAAGTTGTGTTGTACTTTAATAGACAGAAATAGAGTAGTGCAGCAAGGTACTAAGATATAAGTTGTTAGATTGGTGGATAGTTGTGTTAACAGATGGAAGAGTTAGCTTATGATTGACCTAACACTGGAACAGTTATACAGGGGTTTAAACAATGTTATTAATTTTTAATGGACCGAACAGACTCCAGGCTGGGGAACTGACTGCCTCAAATTATTTATCTTCCACATTCCTTCTCTGTATTGAACTGAAGAAGCCAGTGGCTGACTTAACTTCCACAAAGATTCAATAACGTTCAACAAGTGTCTCGTTAACTTGTCTGTGTTTACTAAACCTTTAATATTTTAATTATCGGTAACATTGTTTACAAATTAATTTACTTCTCTCTTTACCATGTCAGTAAAACAAGTCGCAGTATTAACGTCATGTTACAGTGGCATTGTTTCCTTTCAATTTGTGAGCGTGTTAATCGTTCTTGTTCTATTCTAGTATCATACAGGACCAAGAGTGTTGTCAGCGGTATCATTTACCAGGTAACAGGTGTCCACCGGAGCATGATTCACTGAACCACCCAGACAAAATCGTTCAACTGTGAGCTAAGTTACTTGGTAGTCTCCTTTCCCTACGTGAAAGACTGAATGCTCATTCACGCAACACTTCGAAGAATCTGCCTTATTAAAATCATTTTAATCTATAACCAAACTTTAAACCAGAGCTTTGGGGTCGTAGTGGAGTCTGAAGCCATTCTTGGGTTACTGGAGTCGGTAAAATGTAATTAAAGGAGTTGGAGGAACCGCAAATTTGGGAGTAGAAGTCTAAGGTTTCAAGTGTAGACTACAACCCTTCTTAAAACTCTTATAGCTATTCAGAAAAAAAAAAATCCTGCCTCGAATCAAAGTGTTAACCACTTAAGGGTACTTAAATTTCACCAAAACTTCTGCATGTATGAAACATTATATGTAAGCCGGTTCAGGTCCAAAGACTATAAAGTAAAACAAATTTGTAATATGTCATGTCTTAAGAGGATTCCTCCACAAGCTGGTCACCAGGAATGGTGGTGTGCTGAAGCATCTATTAAAGAATTATGTAAAAAATTTCCTAGGCTGATTAAACACATCCTGCTGACCCCCAATCCCCCATCCTTTTCTTTTGGCCACCGAAGAGCAAACCCCAGGTGTCCCAAGGTTATGGGACAAAGATGCTATAGATTGCATTCTACAACAGCCTTCACCTCAAAATTAATTACTTGCTACCTTAACATTGTCCAGGCATGAACAGAACCCCCAGTTCCGTATGCTGGACGTGGGAGACTATTCAACCTTGACATTTGTGGATCAGTGTGCAGCTGAACTACCCAGCCAGGGTGAAAAAGGCACGCATTAGTCAAAACTGAAACAACCTACTATAGTCTATTAGAGCAGTAATCTCTAGCAATGCATGTTATTTAAGAAAGTTGCACAAGACCATTACCATTGACGATGGGCAGGTCGAAAATCTAACCTAGACTGGAAACATCTTGAGCACAATCTTGAGAGTGAACCAGCATTCACTCAGTCCATCGAGCGAACAGCAGGAAAAAAAAAAAAAACCTACCACCAAGACAAGGGCACAAGTTCGAGTGCCAGGCGTGCACCTGATACAAAAGATAAATGCGAGTTTTAAGTCGCTCGAATTTCACTACCAAGATATGATAACCGAGGGATGGAGGAAAGTGTATTTTGATGGGTATCCAAATAATATAAAACAAATACACAGAAGTAGCTGTCTTGACAGCCACACCTTGCATAGAAAGCCAGGCAATGCGACCATGGCATCGACCGAGGCTTAAAATCAAATATTAATCACCCTACATGTGGAATATAAATTAAAAATACAGCACTTCTACCTACAGAAAGCAAAATGTTGATTTGCTAATCATAGCAATATATTTAACAATTAGTAATGGTAGAATTACCGACAATGTTAGTTAAATGGACAGCCGCCGCAAACATTTCGTGGCAACATTGCCACAATAAAATGCCACAGTTGCATCCTTGTTCATTTACCTAACATTTTGTAGACAAGTGTTTCAGAGAACATACAAGTTGATAAATTAAACATGTGCAACACTTATCTTTATCCAAAATCAAGACATCAAGACGTTGCACACCTCTAATTTACCTAACATCTACCTCAACGTTTACAAAATGTTTTTCAATTGTAAAATTCTTACTTGGAGGTGAACATGTTAGATATTCAGTGTCCTCTTGCACCAGCACGCAACACTCGTCATCATGATCAAGAGGTTTGCGCTCCAAAATAAGGAACTGAGAAAATTGCGAAAATTGAGCCATTGGATCAACACCACCAACAAAATGCTCATCTGATCTCATAAAACCAATCTGATACTTCTGGTCGACTCTCATCTCTAGGATCATTTCAAGGATCTGAAAATAAATAAGGAAATTTCGCAACCCAATATGTAGTTATATGTTTTGGTGCACAGATGTTAATGGAGGAGACCAAATTTCAACTACGTGTTCAAAATTTGCTATAAATGCTTATTTAAATGTGCATGTTCTTAAATGTTTAATACTGAAACACTGAGTAGGTTAGTGTGAAATTATATATGTTAAGTAGTTCTGAAATTCAAAGAAAACTGACAGATAATTTTACCCTTGTGGTAATAAATAAACTATAAATTCTATCACCATGAAAAACACATTATAATCAAACCATGTATAAAATAATCATCAGATTGGAAATAAATGGTATAAAATAAAAATTGACGATTCACTTGATCTTCCCATTCCAGCCAGCGATTTCATCGACCTTGTTGAACTATGTGTTGGCTTTACGTGTTTCTCTTTCGAAAATCACCTCTTTCAGCAGACTTTTGGACTACCCATGGGTTCGCCACTCAGTACAGTCCTGGCGAACCTATACATGGAACATCTAGAAGCCGAACGTTTCTCCACCATTATTCCTTCGTCTGTCACCTGGCTCCGTTATGTTGACGACATTCTCCTCATAACTCCTAAACGCTTCAACGTTCAAGCTCTCCAAGACAAGCTCAACCAGGTCGAGCCTTCAATCCAGTTCACACTTGAAGAAGAAGTCGACAACACTCTTCCTTTCCTTGATGTCCTGCTCTGCAAAGCTGACCACGAACTTCGTTTTAAAGTCTATCGAAAACCCACCAACCAAAACGATCTTCTCCACTTCTACTCTCACAACGACACCAAAACCAAACGTGGTGTAATTATAGGCTTCTTCCTGCGTGCACTCGGAATCTGCAGCAACGAGTTCCTTGAGGAAGAATGCACTATAATTGAACAAATATTTTCTAAACTCCACTATCCTCGTCACTTCATCAGAGACTGCAGACGGCGAGCATTAAACATCTTCAACACACCCAGAGAAGACACTGCCGAGAAGAGATACATAGTCCTTCCCACCAACTCCATTGCCAAACATGTTTCCAACATCTTTGCCAAAACATCATTCCAAGTATCTACCTCCACAACCACGACCATCAAGGACATCACCAGTAGTAGGCAGGACAAGCCTCCATCCTCTGCAGGGGTATACATAATCCCTTGTAATGACTGCAACAAGTTATACGTGGGCGAAACATCAAGGGACCTCCAAACACGTATTTCAGAACACCAATACGCAAGCAGGTCTGACGACACAAGGAATGCCTGCGTACAACACCGTAATTCACACAACCACTTGATAAACTACAGAAACTCAAGACTTATCGCCACAGAAGACAACACTCAATACCGAAGAATCCTGGAATCATCACTTATTTCTATATCCGACAACTTCAACCAGAATAGTGGCTTCTATAACATAGCTGAACCACTTGCCAATAAACTTCTTCATCGCTATCCCACATAAGAACACTGTAGAAGGTCTGCTCACAAACTTATCCAATCTCCTTTCCAAGCTACCCAAGTTTTTAGACTCTATAACCCCACTCGGTACATCATCAGATGCAGCATTCTTCACCTGACCTCAGCCGGACTATAAATACTCGCGTTCCTTCCACCCCAGGTAGTTCTGTTTGTGACTTGAAAAAGCCCACTGTGTGGGCGAAACGTAGTCAATAAAGGATCACATTATACTGCATTTGTGTTTATATTGCCAATCATCAGATTAAAAATCACATTAAAACACTCCTTAATGTTCCCAGAGATCCCTACGGTAACCCAATGACTATAAAAACTATGAAGCAAAATGGCCCAAGTCATGGGCCGACTTAAAAAATTTTTATCACAGTCATCTGCACTCCACAAGCCCTGTGCATGAGGACAAGCGCACACAGGCTGCAGTCCAGGAAGCAGCATCCACCCGCCAAACGGTACAGGCAGCCCCCCCCCCTAAACGACGAGCAACAGACACTCTTCCCCACCCTTTTCCTAAGACAGCAGCTGGTGAATACGACACTTACACTAACTGGGGTATCAGATTTGTCGTTTTTTCAGTCAAATACATTAGTGACACGAGGCAATGGATAAAGTGGTAAGGTATTTTAAGGTGTTCAGTCTTTCAGCCTAGATAGGTGTTCTGTTCCTCAGTCTATTAGTCATATTAACAAAGCCTAAGGGATTGAACACTTCATAATTGCCTTTTTATTTCCACCGTCTCCAGTATACAAGTCAATGATTGAAAAAAACCTGCCGAAAGTCAAAACGTCCGGTTAAGATACCCATGTGTTACATAGGTCTGAGTCGTCAATTTGTCGGCAGTTTCAACAATTAATGTAAAAGCTTAAGCTAGGTATCCACGTATGCTGAAACTGAAACCTGTAGAGCAGGCCGAGCACCTCACGGCTCGGATCAAGGGGAAGCTCACCCGACTCAAAGAAGTTCTCGACATGGGGAAAGCATGGAACGCAAACTGTCCTTAAGTGATACTAATTTTTCAAAGTGCAGTGGGGAAAAGTTGGCTTAGTATCAGCTCTGGCAGCCACGTACAGATACGGTGGTAGAGAACGCTTTAAAAGAATGTCTAGTGCCCACAGAGCATGCACTTCGAGCGTGTTTGAGAACCTCGACAAGCCCTCGATCATAGATCCACATGAAAGTCACTTGCTACTCATAGGAAGGAACACCACACTGTGAGCAACACATGGGTAGCAGGTTCTAACCTGAAACCGGGTAACAGTTGGCACCATCATCAAAGTGGGGAAATCTGTAGTCATTAGAAGCAGCAACTCTACGTTATGTCTACTGCTACCTGAAGCTGGTGGCAGAGTGGGCGAATAACTATTATCAATGAAATGCCGGTGGGGTACAGGGTATTCCCTGTCCGAGACCTTGTCACTGAGGAAGGCGAGAGCCTAACCTGTTAGGACGTTTATTAACAGAGACTACCAAACTCGCTACTTCCTCGTTCAGTGGTGCCGATGAACCAGGATAGGACAACGAGTGCTGGGTGTATGCACCAGTATTGGCGCCATTAACTTTTAAAGGCACTTCGCCAGGAGGGCCATTAATCCCCAACCTAAGAAAGTCTGGTAATGCGTCTTACTGTCAATAGTGGTCCTTCTGTTATCTTACCCATCATGCAACCCAAAACATTGTTAACACATCGGGAATTATTTACCACTGGGTAAAGAGACAGTAAAGAATATTACAGTGTTTCGTCTCGCTTGGAATTGAACCTAGGTCTTCCAGTTTCCAGTCAACATACTCACACGAAGGACATTATGAATGCAAAGACTACAGTAAGTACTTTAAGAACTAATAAATGTAAACAGAACTTACCATGTATCTGACTGAATAGACCTTCTCAAAAATTATTTTATTGCAGTAATGCTGTTCCAGATACGAGAGTAATAATTTATATATCTCAATAGCATGGGAAGATGGTAGTGTCCATATTTTAGCCTTGAAAGCTTGTATCAAACCATCAACGGCAATAACAATGTCATCAGTTTCTCTCTCTCGCAGAGGAGATACTTCCTCTCGTCCATACGGTGCCAGTAGAACCTTCAGAAGCAGAAAGAGGAGGTAGTTATAAATTTCTTTTGGTAATTTACATGCTGCCACTAACACTAGAGCCTAAAAAATATAAAAATCAACAAGCAAACAAAGTTGTTAAAATCACAAATAAATGCCCCCTTCCTGAAAATGTCTGAGGTCCTGGTAGGCACCTCATTACACGTTAACTTAAATTGGATCAACAAGTATTAGCCGTGAGGAACTAATTAAAGTTTGCTCCATATTTGTTTTTAGTTTTAAATCACGTCGAATATACTTTGAATTTAAATGTTTTAGAACGGCTTCAACATCTTCACTGGCTCAGGCTTCTTGTACGTATAATAGTACCATCCAAGCTGAGTCTGCGTAGACAAAAATTTTCCAAAACACGAACAGTAATTGAACTTGTGATGCAAATTACAATGCCTCTCAAGATTCTGTAACTAAAATTACAACAGTCTTACCTAAACGAAGACATTTTCACGTCTTTCGTGGCCTCTGATTTCCTATTTTTTATATTAAAGGACAAAACGACACAGTACCGTGACTGGAACAATGCAAAACTAACACTCGCACATATATAAACGCTTATGACTGTTTCTGTCCGACTTGGGCCAGTGACTACTTACTGATATTGAAGTTAGTCCTTTTAAAAGACCAACTTGCAAAAAACATCTGTCTGCTAGTGTGATATAAACAAGAGTTTCCAGACTACACATTTCAAGTAAACTATGATAATCATCTAATATTAAGTGAATGTCTTGTATTAGTGAATGTATACAACGTACATATACAAATGCACGAGCAAACAATACATTTACGTGCGCATGTATACATACGCAAATTTATACACATGCACAAATACCTATACATTTTCATTATGTATGCATATGCGTACAAGAATAAATACGTGTTCATACGTATACACTATTATAATGAAGCGCTAAACCTACAAATACATTTGCACAAACACACAGTTGCACTCGCATTCAAATGAACATACGTACATGCCAGCTGTGAATCGACCCTTGCAACCAAAATTAGGTAAGTACAGAAACTTGGGCACTTGATATTTTGCTGAACTAGGATGTAATTACCACCCTCCACTATTCCTTTAGCTTGTAGGATACTGGGATTCCTTTTTGCTTGTAGGATACCGAGATACCTTTAAAGCCAGTTTGAAAAGTGTATCCTCAACCCCAACATGGTAAGCCACGGAGACACCTACACAACTGCAGCGGGCGAAACATTATCAATAGACTTTACACTACATCTGTGCACCCACATTTCCATCTAGTCGCAGTTTTACATCTCTAAATTAAAACAGTCACAACACAGTGGCTGGAACAATACACAAATAACCCGCACTTCATGAGAAACTCGAGATGTATCTGCCAGTCCTGGACCAATCAGTGAGCCAGTTAATGGACTGGGTAATGGTCCACATCGGACGAAATTCTTATTATCAGTTTCCAAAGTCCGGGTTATTTGTCTAGGCAGAAAGTCCCGCGAGCCAATTCAGGTGTTTTTCGGAGTAGCCTCCTAATGCCATAGTCAGGTTCTTAAGTTCTTGAAGTACAAGTAAAAGATTGACTTTAGTACAATCAGATAATTCAAGGAGCTCCTGTGACCAATTTTTTTATTTTTTTAGTCACTCAAATTACCTCCTGATCCATTTTTCATTTCCCCAGCTTAACTTTAGTTCCCACTGCGTAACTACCATAGCCCTGGGTAGTAGCACAACTTTGATTTATCCAATTTGGTTAAAATTCCTTCCTTTGCTATGATGCCTTCAACAGTAAACATTTCATATTAAAGAAATTTGACAACTAGATATGGGCCAAACCATGAATCTTAAATTTTGAATTTGTACCTAAATTTTCTTACATATAATACTCCAGAGAAATTTGTTTCAGTGTAGACTCAATTTTTACCTTCTCCAGTATGCCCACCACATCCAAGACGAGGTCTGACTGGTGGGTCAGAACCACCTGGACGAGAAACTTGGCAACACATGTTCTGACCTTAATATCTGTTAGAGTTTCGGCATCATTCAGATTGGTCAAGATTACGTCCCTCACCAGCTCTGTGCCGTAGATATTCCTGAAAGATTCTTTGGAATTAATCAATAGAGAAAAATATTTACGGTCTTTAGCTTTACGTACAAAACCTTTGCTATCTAAATTACTAGAAAGCTAAGTTATATTTCTTGGCTTTAGTTTACAGATAAAGATGTATAGTATATTTTTTTCAAAGCCCTGTTCTAAGATACTGGTACACTATCTACCCTTCAAGGCTGCCACCTACGAACACCTAAGCTCTAAACAGTACCAACTGGTTTAAGCAGACGCGCCCATACATCTTAACACTAGTGAATAATTTTGCTAATGCTACAGTAATTACAGTATTAAATGTCTTCAGATAAAAAAAATGGCATTTCCTAGAAAGCTTAATAAAGAAAAGCTCAACAGGGGCTCTTAGTTCCTCTCTGTGGTGTGTGTTTCACAAACACTAACAGCAGTTCATACAAATATATACCATAAAACCCTTTCCACGACTGTCAGATTTGATTACTTTTTTAATGGCAGAAGAGAAAAAATTCATTATAGAAGCGTTTTATAAGAGTTTGCTGTACAGTATTTAGTATAACTGAAGACTACAAACATTCTTATGAATTCTGTATAGAAAAGTACATCGCTAATTGAAGTCTTTAGTTTACTCCCCCCCCCCCTCCCGGGGGGAGGGGAGTGTGGAAGGTATTCAGGCTTAATTCAGGGAACCGGAGCACAGATCCAATTCCCTAGATCAAGAGCCCCTTACCAACATCAAGGAACCTTCCTTGAAGGGTGTGACAGATGTAATATAGCTATTAATAACATGACCAATATAAGTTATATCTAACTGGAGTGAAAGAACAGTGTGGAGTCCTGGTACAATAGTAATCCTGGGCGTCTTCCAATAATTATACCTTTTTTTTTCAACAAATCTGCCGTATCCCACCAAGGCAGGGTGGCCCAAAAAGAAAAACGAAAGTTTCTTTATAAATTTAGTAATATATACAGAAGGGGTTACTCGGCCCTTGCTCCCGGCATTTTAGTCGCCTCTTACAACACGCATGGCTTACGGAGGAAGAATTCTGTTCCACTTCCCCATGGAGGTAAGAGGAAATAAACAAGAACAAGAAAGAAAATAGAAGAAAACCCAGAAGGGTGTGTATATATATTCTTGTACATGTATGTGTAGTGTGATCTAAGTGTAAGTAGAAGTAGCAAGATGTACCGGAAATCTTGCATGTTTAAGAGACAAAAAAGACACCAGCAATCCTACCATCATGTAAAACAATTACAGGTTTTCGTTGTACACTCACTCGGCAGGACGGTAGTACCTCCCTGGGTGGTTGCTGTCTACCAACCTACTACCTACAATAATTATACCTATGCATAATAATTATTAGACTTTTATGCAAAGTCCACTAACTGAACCTACTTTTGTTCCGTTAAGGCTATATAATTATACAAAAAATAAAGCTTGAGGCAGCCTCACACCCCTCGCATTAACATATTACTGATTTTGTTAAATTTTCTTATACAAGCAAAATGTGGTAAAACAAAATTAGATCAATAAAATTTAAATAATATTTTGAGGTTAAGCACTGTGAAAGCAAACTAAAGATTATAATAAACGTGTTTGAGGGAAATTTATTAGCAAGAGCCGTGAACAATACTGGAACCTGTTTGTATTGTACACATCTTCCAGTATTTCCAGCGCCTTGATCTTAACGTTGGCTCTGGGGTCCGGCCGGTAATGCTGGATGAAAAGCATGTCTAAGTTGTTCAGCCATTTTTCATGAAATGAAGCTGTGCTTTTTGCCTGAAAGTCCATCAGTCTGAGTACAGAATTTTCCTGCAGGAAAAAATGAATATTATGAAAAATACTATACTAATTACACAGTTTTTAAATATACGAAATATTAACTATGTATTTTTACTTACTGGTCGATAATTTGAGTACTTTATGACCAGAACGTAAAAGTCCTCAGGTTTGCCATTAAAGGTCTCTGCCTCCATAAGCTCTTCTATGTACTTCATAACGTCACCAAGAATATCTAATATTGAATCTTTGTCTGGACATTCATCAAGACTGACTGGAAAATACAAGATTCTCATTAACATTTACAAACATTAGGTAATATATCGGCATTACATTTGTACACAGAGCCAACACTGCTGGTTACACCTGGGGTGGGTTTCGGGAGTCAACGCCCCCGTGGCTCGGTCTGTCCAGGTCTGTGTGGTGGATCAGGGCCTGATCAAGCCGACTGTTACTGCTGGCCGCACGTAAGTCGACGTACGAACCACAGCCCGGCTTGTCAGGTACTGATTTTAGGTATCTGTTCAGCTCCTTGAAGACAGCCAGGGGTCTAATGGTAATACCCCTTATGTATGCTGGGAGGCAGTTGAACAGTCTTGGGCTTTTGACACTTGTCTCAATGTACTCCTGGCTCCTCTGCTTTCCACTGGAAGGGGTGCATCGCCTGCAGTCTCTTTTGCTTTCGTAGGGAATTAGCTTTTAAAAGTAATTCAGTCTAACGGTGAAGAAAAATATAGTTTGACAATAGTCATCACAACTGATCTTTGCAATAAAAGGCATACGAAATAAAATAAAAAATTTAGACGAAAATGTCGGATGGTAAATCCATGAAGACACTAAAGGTCTTACAATACTTTGTACAGTTTAATGAATATTTACAACTTTCAATAACATCAACTAAAAGTCAGTTGACCAAATGAAGCAGCTGACAGATCACTCCAAGTTTATCCTGTTACCTGTCGACATGTCTCAAAAGGCTTTCAAACGAGCTGATATAGGCAACAGCTTTTAGCTTTCAAGTTAGGAACTTTAACCTAACCTTGTAAAGCCGTGTATAACCACGTGATGGGTTCAGTAGGTAACCATAGCTAGCCTTGGTCCAACATTTTTAAAATATTAGCAAATACACCTTTGAGAAGTTTCGAGAGCCTCGAGCCCGGCCATGGGCCAGGCTCGCACGTTGAGTTTTAATAGGAAAATATAGAGCATAAGGAAGTCCCAAAAAACATTTAAAAATGTGACGATCAAAGTGTAAACCGACCTCAATATTATTGGTTTTTTTTTTTTTTTTTTTTTTTTTTTTTTATATTTTTTTTTTTTATTCACCGGTATTCTCCCGGCCCGGGTCTTTTCCAAGTAGTGGTGACCCGGCCTTGGCTCCCTATCTGGGGAGTGTCTCGAGACTTGAGTCTCCCATGGGAGGAAGAACAAGTACCTCCTCATCTTTGGGACCAAGTGTCCCCAGGCCTAGCCACATTCCCCGCCCTCACGGGGCTCGTAGGGAGAAGCTAGGCCTCTGGTCTGCCATCTACCCCGCCTCAAAGGGGCTCGTGGGGATGGCAGTCTTATGAGCTGCAGATGGTAGCAAGCTCAGGCTTCCTATTATTGGTTATTTTAAGAACTGACAGCACACCCCTGACAGCACACCCCTGACAGCACACCCCTGACAGCACACCCCTGACAGCACACCCCTGACAGCACACCCCTGAGTGCGAGAGAGAGACCCGCACCCCAAATTAAAAGAGGAACACTACAGTCACTCCGTCACTTACTAGTGTTCCTATAGGCATTATTCATCATTTCCAGGACGACGCTCCATGTACTTTCTTTCATTGTAGTACCTTGGCTGGACAATAACTTCTGGACGCTCATGGCTACCTCAAAAACCACTAGTTTACTGGGGTTTTGACTGGCCTGTAGAAAATCATGCAATATTTCAAAAATTCGAAAAAGTCTGTGAAAGGAAAAAGTGGATAGAGATACAACAATGATGGTAGAATTACATATAAAGTATTAGGGGAAAATAACACTGATGCAGCAAATTAGATTTTACTGTGGCAACGTTTCGCTCTCCAGGAGCTTTGTCAAGTTGTTACAAACTGCTTGATAAAGCTCATGGAGTGAAACGCTGCCACAAAATGTTATTAGTTGCACCTTCTTACCTTTAACAAAACTAAATGTCCAACAGCCAATCACTTACAACTTAATTTGATTACCGAATTATTTCTAGACAATTTTCCTTGACACTGACCAATATTGTAAGAAATATTTTAGGCTTCGCCGGATTTCAGTCCTGAAAGTATAAAGTACCTCGTCTACACTCTTAAGAAATTGTCAGAGAAGATCTGAAGTATGACAGTAGCGGTGAGACAGCTGCTGAACGTATGATTGTGGGTGGGCAGGAGTTGGGGGGGGGGGTTATGTTCAGGATCACTTAAGTTGGAGACAATCGCTATTAAAAAAAAAAAACAGAACCAAGAGCTAGAGGATTCGACTTCCCTGTAATTAATATATATTTAAATACAGGTGTCAAAAGAATGCACCAAGTCAGTTTCTCGTCAAAAGATGTCAGTGGTATCGCCAGCTCAGTATACTGGAAGGGAGGGGGGAGCGTTCCATTACAACTACGTAAAGTACTAAAAATATGCTGCTGCTGAGCTACCGATACCAAACCCATCAAGCCTCCTATTAATACTTTACATAAACAGCTTAATGAAACCGATGAAATGTTTGCCATCTCGCGCCAGTCCTGGCCTTGCAGATTTACAAAGTACTAGCTTCGTTCTACCAACAAATTAACATTTCATTATCAGCTTGCTACCGATTTAACAAATTCACATATTTCACATTAATCAAACAAACCAATTAAATGTAGTCCAAGTATTTTGTACATTCATTAGTCCATAACCTAAATTTGTTTCGCTTCATTATTCGTGTTAGCATTAGACGAAAGGGGAAAATGCTCATTTATGCTAAGAGATGCTAAGTTTTCATGCGAGCATTGTGGGCAAAGTAATACCCTTGAAAAGAACCCATAAGCACAAGACAGTTAAAACGGGAGGAAGTATTACACTACCATATAAATGTAAAAGATGCCAGTAAGTGCAGCGAATGGCATCTTTTAATGTAGCCGATCTCTTCCCAGAGACGTAGAGGGAGCTTCCCAACGGGGCAGGGAAAGTGAGATACTACATGAACAGAGAGGTGGTAACTGGAAAGAAAAGAGCTAATGTAGGCGAAGGTAAAAAGGACCGAGTAAACAGGGGCAACGAACAAATTAAGAAAGTTTACTAACATCAGTGACTATCCCTATATATGGAAGGATTGTGGAGGTCATGAGAGCGAACATAATAGCGAAGGCAATGAGCATCACTGCTATCGGTCAAGGATGAAATATTCGCCTCAGCACAGAGGCTCTCAACCGGTGAAGAGCGACAAGCACCGAGGGATAAACTTAATCCCTGATGATGGATGTGATCAAGGCTAGAAAAAAGTTGCAGGAGAGGCCGCTTAATATATCTGGTCGCCACAATAGTTACGATAAAATTAGGGCTGAATGTAGTTGAAGGAGAGTTCTACGATCAGCCCCTCATGAAAGATGAGCGAGGGTTTTAAGGAGGTTCAGCCGGCAAAACAAGTTGCTTTCAGAGAGGAAATGTGAGGTTTCCAGGATAACCGATAGTCAAACAGAAGGCCGAGAAACCTGACCGTATCACGTTCTGGGATACGTGAGCCATATAAGTACAAGGGATGATCAGAGACGACTGAACGTATAGTTTAAGTAATTTGGAGAGTTTTAGTACTAGAAAATTTAAACTCGCTAGTAGTGGCCCAATAGGAAACACGATTGACCGCATGCTGGAGACAAACTCCAATGAGGTGACAGCGCCTGCACAAGCTGTAGCAGTCATCAACAGTGATGACCAAATATTAGATGGAATAGATGCCAGATCATTTATAGCAAGGAAAAAAAATGTGCTCAGAACATATCCCTAGGGGACACCTTCAATTTGGACAGCCTGGGGAAAGCATATTAACCCGAGCGCTGAAATGTCTCTGTCAAGAAGTGCTTAAGGGAAAAAAATGATAGATTGCCTCGGGGGGCCTAAGGAGTGGGTCTGGGCAAAGATGTTACGCCTCCAAGTTGTGTCATTTGCCTTAAAGATCAAAATAGATGGCGATAACCGAGTGGTTATTGGCAAAGGCATTACGAACATACGTATCCAAGCGCAGTAAAGGGCCATTGGTAGAAGAGCCCTTACAAAAGCCATATTGACTAGTGGAGAGTATCGAGTCTCCATACCACACCAAACGTCTATGTACCAGACGTTCCATCACCTTGCAAACTGCACTGGTAAAAGCAATGGGACGATAGTGGGAGGCATCATGTCCCGTAGTACCCGGTTTGCGGAAAGGGAGAACAATGGCAGATTTCCACAGGTGGGGAAGAACTCCTTGTGACCAAATAATTGTCTTAAGAGGACATCAAGAGCTGACTGATGTAAATGCTGGAGCATACGAATACGAATGCAGTCAGGCCGAGCTGCCGATGATCGGCAAGCGGAGTGTTGTCTACAGTTCCAGAAGTGTAAAAGGCACATTATAAGATTCTTCTCTGATAGAAAAGTTTAAGGGCTCTAACTCAGACTGGGAGGAAAGAAACGAGGAGGCTTAGATGGAGCCCCTGAGAGATACTGACAAGATTACCAATTTCGGTGGCAACGTCAAGAGGGTTTGCTATAGCGACACCGGCATTTTAAGAACATAAGAAGGAACACTGCAGTAGGCCTACTGACCCATGCTGAGCAGGCCCATGTCCCCCCCCCCAGGATTAGCCTAATGACCCACCAACTCTGGTCACCTCCACTCAAGGCAGGAGCACGGCACCAGACCCAGCAGCACAAGCTAGTCAGGTCCAACTCATACCCACTTGTGTATTTATCTAACCTATTTTTAAAACTACACAACGTTTTAGCCACAATGACTGAACTCGGGAGTTTGTTCCATTCATACACAACTATTACCAAACCAAGCCGAAGTGACTGTAGAAACAATCCCGCCAGCAAGTGCGTTTAGAGTCACTGATGACACGACAGGCGACCGCTCTCTTCTGCTTAAAATCAAGGAGTCTCTCTGGTTCTATTGTACCGATACCTGCCCCACGCAGCGAGTTTCAAACGTACTGCACGAGCACAAGCACGAGACCATCAAGGCACGCACCTGAGAATGCCTGCCCGAGGTTTGGGGTATAGAATATGAAGCTGCAGTTAAAACCGAGGTCGAGAAGAGGTGTAAAAGCTCATCAATTGAGGAAGAAGGATCCTCACTACAAGCAGTTTGAACAGCAAAGATCCCAGATAAATCAGGTAAAGTCTAGTACATTTGAGGAGCAAACCGAGAGATCTATGCGAGAGAATGGGTACGAGGATCAAAATGGGTGAGAGTACCCGTATTTAAAACAGGAGAGAAGCGAGAAAAGCCTCAAACTGAATGCCAAGGGAGTCACTGAGCTGCCCCTCCCCCAGAGGAAATGGTAAGCATTAAAATCGCCAAGTAACAATAGTGGAGGCGGTAAGGAAGAAACCAGAAATGCAACATCTGCGATAGATAATGACCGAGGAGAGATGCAAAGAACAGATTGTATGCCCCTTATTCAAGTGGATGCGGGCTGCAGTGTAATGCAGCGAAGTAAGAATAGAGTTGTTGGTATGGAATACCAGTGCGTATAAGTGCACTTTCATTAAAGGTTTCATCAGGAAAAGGATCCAATGAATATAATAAAACAGCTTGAAATAGGATGGAAAACAGATGAGCGTAATTTGAGTTCCTGTAAACGGGAAAACTGGGAGAGCAACACCTGAAGCTCATCCAGGTTACCCGAGGCCAGGGATATTCCACTGCAAGTAAGCCATGATTTGCGATGAGAGATACAAGAAATCTGGTATCTTCGGATAGAATGGCTAGAAAAGTCAGTATTTGGAGGCAGCGGAAAACGCACAAGCAGCAGAGTTCTGGGAGGCTGCGAAGAAAAGTTGTGCAGACGGAGAAGAGTGGAAAGGGACAGGAAGTTGATCGGTGTCCATCAATGGTCTAGTCTCTTCAGTATATTCGGAAATAGCTTCAAGTGTTTCGGAGGACAAGCACGTTGTATGTGGGACGATATTGGAGGTGGAAGGAGTAGGGTGAGTAAAGATCCAGGCGACGATGTAATGTACCGAAGTAAGGTGAGACGAAAGGGTAGAGGGAACTGGAGAAGCTTGGGAAGGGACAGGAAAGGAAGCGACCTGGGAGGGGGCAGAGGAGTAAGAAACTTGGGAGAGGACAAGGGAGGAAGGTACTGTACGAGAATGAACCTCCACTCTTAACAGTGCCAGTTAAGAGGTGAAGAACCAGGTACAGACTAGAAAGGAAAAATATGTGCAGGTAGAAGAGACGGATTTTTTGAACTTCGGAGAAGTAGAGGGGAGATGGGGAAGAGTTGTTGTACGGGGTCTTAGATAAACTGAGTCAGAAGAGGAAGAGGAGAGCAGAATGAGGTGTCGAGGTAGGGACCTCAGTCCAGGACAGCAAAAGAATTAGACACAGGGATGACTGTAGAAGAGGTGACCTCAGAGGAGGCTATGGAAGTTGGGACCCCAGGAATGGGGTGACCATATTTCGCTGGGTGACCAAAATGCCAGCAATTTCTACACTGTTGCAGTGTAGGGATCACCTTTTCAACTTGCAAACGGTGTCCCGCAATATAAACCGAGGACGGAAGCTCATGGTAGTCAAAAGTTAAGCGAGCTATATTACAAGGGTAGTCTTCTCTAAGGAGACGCTACCCAGAAAAGGGGGCAGCCGGATACCCGCCACAAAGCATACTTTCTTTGGCCACCATCCCCGGAATCTGAAAGGCAGCTTCCAGAGTTACACCAGTCACCCGAAAGACACCCAACACAATCCCCCGGTGAGCCAGAGGGGGAGTGGGACATCCCCAGGTGATCCAGATTCCATGGTAAACTACACCACTGCCACGGACCTCAACGGAATGGGATGAACCACGGTACCCTTCCCCCTACCTAAGAACGAGTGCGCCTGTGGGAAGAATCCCAAAGGCTGAAAACGGGAAGGGGATAGGGAAGGGATGGGGAGAGGAGGAAAGGAAAAGGAGGGATTGGGAAGATGGGATAGGGAAGGGGAGATAATTAGGCTTGATCTGAAGGAGACCACAAGGTCTAATTCCTCAGACCAGGAGCCTCCTCTTCGCGCCAAGGAGCCTCCTTGAAGAGGACTATATACACAAATAACTCGCACAGAAAAGCTTATGAGGAAGTTTCGGTCCGAATTCTCCTCTCTTCTCTATGTGCGGGTTAGTTGTGTATTTTTCCCAGTCACGGAATTTTGCCTATTTTGATTTGATGAAGTCCTACTATAGGGCGAAACAGTCTAATAACACTCTTCGCTCACTATATTTTAGATTCTTTTGTCAGTCAGCTTAACATTAGTGTTGAAATTACAAAAGCAATACTTGTACAAGTGAACAATACTTTTTTGTACTAACTGTGGTTATTGATGGATATAGCGATACAATTTCGCAGTCCAACGTCTCTATCTTCTTTGGTCCCCATAATACATTAGCCAAGAAGAAGAGTGATCCTCGCGCAATCAACTCGTCAGTCGCATTCACAAGTATCCTGCACAGAATGTTCAAGCAAGTCCGACCATGTTCCGCACTAAAGAGTGAGCGAGTTATCTGGAAATGAAGGAAGGATGGCAACATTCAACATTAATGCGTTATGATCTTCCAAAAGGATCATAGAAAGGAATTTAATAAGTATTATTAAGCCATGTGATGTGGAGTTATGATACAGTCTTACCAAACCACGGGCGGGGATAGAACCCGCGATCAGAGTCTCAAAACTCCAGACCATCGCGTTAGCCAGCTGGCCCAGTGGCTAACGCGATGGTCTGGAGTTTTGAGACTGATCGCTGGTTCTATCCCTCCCGTGGTATGGTTTGTTTACAATCTTGTAATTACGATTTCGTGAGTCATGTTACAGTCTTCAGTATCAAGGTTTACTATTTTCAATTTTAAAATTAAGATAATTTTAAGTGAAAATAAATGATAAATTCGTTAAGATAATGGGGTACTGCAAACTCTTAAACGAGGTATCTTACCCTAAATGTTAATTGAGCAATTTTAGGCGAATTAACAACCCTAACGAGAGCGTAAAGGACAGTGTCGAGTGCTTCATAGTGCATAGAATTGTAGGCGATGAGAGATTCCAAGACATTAAGACAGCAAATAGCTTCTGCCTCGCTTAACGCTCCATGAAGTCGAATTGAAATAATCCTGCAAAGACTGACAATATTTTCACGAGATACTGGACAAGTAATCACAAATGCATTAATATCCATCATTGCATATCAAACAAAAAAAAATGCTGGCGAAACTTAAGAACCTCTCTATATCCGAAAAAGTTCGAAGCTCCAGGCAGGTTTATATTGTAGCGCCTTGTGGAGGCAAATTAAGCTTGTTCTATTAGGCCTAATGTAAACTATACAACTTTTCATGCAGTGAAAGTAATGAGAATTTTCTGTACATTTTTCCTTTACTTCCATGTTGGCCACCCAGCCCTGTGATTGCTAACACTAAATGCAAACCTGTGGAAAACTTTTGCATCGAGAGTGCACATCTAGTTAGAAAACATCTTATCTCCCTGATTCACCCCGACAACAAACTACATGATAACCACCTGGTGGTTCACAATTACACTCACTCACCCGCTGACTATAAACCCAGAAATACTAATCTTAATCTTAAAATAATAAATCCTAACTAGTCATAAGTTTGCCTATGATACTCCAATATATACACTTTGTATTGTGCCAAAACAAAAGCATTCACATTGCTAAACTCTCAAATTATAATGTAGTCACAGCCTTAATACCATAATCTGTAAGGATTTAATGTTAAGAATTAATCCAAGTCTGCTCGAAATGCCTAGCCAGGCTAGGTGTCCTAGTGGCCCCCTCGGTAATTAGTATTTTATAACATGTAAACCACACAATACCCAAAACCTGTAAACCCCACATTGTAACCCTTATAGAAAATAAACTTGAATTGAATTGAATCTCTTAACGTAAACATCTTTCCTCGAAACAATGTCTGCCAATGAATTTAAGGATAATACAAGTTGGATAAGTATCGTTACCATTGGTATACAATACCGACAAGTTGACAAGACATTTACAACACTTGGGTATCTATTGCTGTAAAGTTACGACTGCACAACAAGCTTCACTCGAATAAAGGTGAATACAGCATTGGAAGCAAAAGTTTTTGACGATCAGTCATGACCACGACAACCTTCCTAAGGTGGCCTACAATCATGTAAAAAGAGACTATGTCGGTATAAAATACTGACAAATTGATTTTTAACATGTGCAACAGTTGGCTATCTGTTATTGAAACGTTTCGCCTAACCAGTAGACTACTTCTGTCAAATACAAAGGCAGGAGGTGTAGTAGTGAAATGAAAATATAATGTCGAACCCGTAGCTCGACAGCTAGCTCACACAGTTCCGAAGATCGATCGTCGATACGTCTGGAAAACATTGGGACGTGTTCCCTCAAGACACCTTTGCAACAATAAGGATACCAAACTGTTGCACATGTCTTTACTATTATTGTTTTCAGTTATATTGAGCTGTGTGACGAGCCTCTTGGGCAGGAGAAAAATTTCAGCAATGTACCTCAGGTATTGCATGCATTTTATTGAATGTATAATTGCCATTTATATAAAGGTGCTTGAATACAAATTAGTTAACATTATTAATGTTCGCTTCTCAAAGCCGTAAACCATAACCAACTAACCTTAAAGAATTTTGAACCATGACATTAATAAACAATTACCAGTGATTAACATTCCAACAAGTACATGGAATGATTTATGAAGGGATCATTATAAAAAAAATTTATTATACTTCTTAGAGGTGATGAATTCGTTAGCAGATGTAGTGGTATACACCCGTGTACGAAGAACTGGACGGGCAGCAATTTATGATACGAGACAAATGGTTTAAAGTTTTAAGCCACTTCAGTTAAAAGGAAAGAAGTAATCTACTTTAAAATTTTGTACATTTTCTACAAACTTAGCGACGTAGAAACTTATTTCCACCAATTTTTTTTTTTTTTTTTCTTTTTTTTTTTTTTTTTTGTAAATTAAAGACTAAATAGCTAGAGTTTCCTTCAACCTTAAAAACTGGGATGTCCAATTAAAAAAAAAAGTATATTAAAGATGTACAGATGGCCAAGTATTAAATTATATATTATATACCTAAAGTGTTTAGTCAGAACTCAAAAAACTAAACTATGAACACTTACATGGCAAAACCATAAATTACATTCCCTTGCAAAGACGAAGAGTTGAATTTCACAAGATTGTTGACAACGTTTAAAACATCATTCGACCGAGGTGAATCTAGAAGATCTTTCAACCATTGTACTATTAATAAGCCAGCACGTTCCTCGATGTGTTCAATGTTCTTTCCCTGGCATATAATACCACTTAGGAAGTCAAAGCTGAAAATTCAGTTTAAATTAATAAAATCCAAATATTACATTACTATTCAGGTGCTGTATTTCATAAATTTAGAAAAGTTACAGTAATACATTTTAACACTTAAATCGTGCAAGTTATCTAGTCTCAATTCTCTAAAGAATCACAAAATTAAAAAAAGTTTTTGCAGAATGGTTTAAATATATTTATATATCAAACCATACCCCCGGCCGGGATTGAACCCGCGGTCATAGTCTCAAAACTCCAGACCGTCGCGTTAGCCACTAGACCAGCTAGCCACAATAAGATTCATCCAACTAGGTATATTTCTACACCATAGGAAGGTTAGCACAGGCACCACTGTGACCACAAATGCAAGTTTTTACAGACGAATCTCCAGCTATCGTGGCCGTGACGAACTCTAGCTCAAGTCCCTTCACTGCCGTCAAGATGACTCAAGAAATCGTAATGACACGATTGCAAACAAACCATACCCTCGGCCGGGATTGAACCCGAGGTCATAGAGTCTCAAAACTCCAGCCCGTTCAATCCCGGCCGGGGGTATGGTTTGTTTGCAATCGTGTCATTACGATTTCTTGAGTCATATTTATATATGCTCAATAATAGGTCACATGGAGAAACTCATCTGAGCGTCTCCATGAGGATTATTAATGAACACTGACAAGTGCTCATTAATAACCCAGTATTATAATGATCACTGACAAGTGCTTATTATACTACTTTTTCCATACTGATATATTGCATTTGTAGAAGTTAGATATTAAATTTAGCCATACAAGGCAGGCAAGACAACTTCCAACTCCCAGGTTATTACCCGCCATTTATATTAATAAAAGTTTAATATTTACTAAATATGTAATCACTAGTCAGGCTAATGAAACAGTTACAAACGCTACATAGAGGGAAAAAAATACATACACAAGATGCTTTTCCTTTTCAAAATTCAGACTAATGTGATTGAAGAATACTAGCCGCATATATCCCATGTCGTCACTATGGGCCAGAGCCAGAGCAGTAAGCATCTTCAGTGTTGGGCGAGAACGTTCAGCGGGAGAGTGCGCAACCACCAGGTCCTTCACTTCTTTCCATATCTTAGCAATGCCACTCTGAAGTGGGGGGAAAAAAAAGCATTAGTCTTATTTTTATATATAATGTAATCAATCTAGTAACCTGAAACGAGTCGCCAGACTTAAGCTGGCCTTTAATAAACCAACGTAACACATTTAAAGTATATCATTGAATTAACTTAACCTGTTTACCTAATCTAGAGTAAACAGTTTTAATCTCAGTTTTAATCTCTGAACAGACAGGCAATAAGACATGCTAAAGACAGAACAAGAGCTTTACAATAATGTGCCAACCTCTGGTAGTTTCCTTGTGGCCAACAGTTCAGTCAGTTCTGTGATAGCTTTGAGCCGGGTAGCAAGTGGAGAGGCTGAAGAAAGTTCTGTAATCAGTTCTTTCGTTACAGTAATTCTTAGCCCAGGAGGGACATTACCTCGATCTGTCCTGAACCATCTCTTTAGTCTCTCGGGAAATTTCCCCTTGTCCTTGCTCATACCGGATTTATGAAGATCAGCAGACTAAAGTGAAAGGAATAAAACTGATAAAACATAAGTAATATTAAGGTACAAGTTTTTTCAATGCTTTACAACAACCGGGCTGCATATATCCCAGGCGGTACACTTCCCAAAATCAACTGCAGATAAATGGTTCAGAGTACCGACAAGTTGATAAATTAGACAGACTTTGGTATCTTCATTGTGGAAACTTTTCGCCACACGGTGGTTTAATCGGTCCAGTACAAAGAATGGCTGAGGATCATGAGGAGTTTGAGGTAATCAATCCCTCAGCTTGGAGTCTATGTCAGACGTTCATCACGATTGATGGACTGATTACATCGACTCCAGGCTGAGGAATGGTTACCACAAACTCTTCCTTATCTTCAACCATTCTTTGACAAAATTGGACTGATGAAGCCGCTGTGTTGCGAGACGTTTCCACAAAGATACAAGTGTTGCACAAATCTAATTTATCAGCAAAATTAAAAAAAACTCTACAATTATCTGGGATAATTAAGCTACAGCAAATTCATTTCAAAAGTGGCTTTAAATCCCTAATCTTATTACAGTATCCCAACAAATCCTCGACTCCCAAAAAGTTGTCCATCGCCACACAAATATTTTAAATCTTACACATACCAGTCCCTGCAAGTTAAACCTATAATCCTTACCACAAAGAACACACATTCACCCTGATGCTCAGTAAAATATTCACGGAATTAAATTTTCCTATAAATAATGGATAAATAAAATTTAAATATTGTCTAAAGTTCCCAAAAAGAACTTAAAAAAATTTCAACAGATGCCAGACTGCAAAATATATGCTAGTTAAGAGGCACATCTCAACAGTGGGGTAGAATGGCCCCTCAAGCAGGTAAACACTGGCAAGGTGTCCAGAATATTAGAGAAATTTATAAAAATTCTTGCTTTATAGAAGAGGAACAAGACATCCTGCCAAAGCCTTTTTTCTGTACTCATTTGTAGGTCCCTCTCGGCCTGTCACTTACCAAGTCTTTTAATATAAACCAAAATATTCTCAGGCCCACTAGTAGTCTTTGCTACATTAGTTGGACAAAAAAACTAATTCCAGCATTTAATGTTTATGCACTCACCCCCCCCCCTCCTCCCAAGTCAAAGTCCATTCTCCAGAAGTCAACAATGGTGAAAACCACTCCATACAATGTAAAAAATTTATGGTACGAGAACAGACCAATAATTAAATGCATCGCATTATCCAGCTAACGAGTATCTATCTAAATTTAACCACCCAAAATTAAAACCAACCAAGAACGTTAAATTAATATTCTTAAAAATCCCATGTCAATTAAACTTAATGCTAAGCATTACTCAATTTTTCCAAGATATTAACAATTGTCCTATCAATAAAGGAATATACACTAGTGATTAAGTGAAGACTAGATAGTCAACAGAAGCTTCACAAACAGGTTTACCTATATTATCAGAACTAAGCGCTAAACCCACTAGGGTCATACAGCGTTGCAGGTTCACCTATAAATGGCTGGACGTGTATAAAGCAACAGTTTTCGTTGTGATAATTCTTGTGGAATGACCCCCGACCCCCGTACCCCAGTACCCTCGACCCATACACTGCGTTGAGGGTAAGGCTGAGTATCGGTAATGGAATTATTACTCTGGAGGAAGCAACCCCCTCATGGGAAGTTCTTCGATGCCAAAGGGGGGAGGGCTCTTGACCCAAGGAATTGGACTTGCCCTCCCCTTGGATCGAACCTAAACGCCTCCCAGGCACTATACAACCCCTATGGGTTTAGCGTTTCCTGAAATAAAACCGAGGAAGCAAACAGCGTGCTGAAAATTTCCAGCCAAGACAGGACTCGCAACAATGGTTTCAGGTTGGAAAACTTCAGATTCAGAAAGGATATAGGAAAGCACTGGTTTGGTAATAGAGTTGTGGACGAGTGGAACAAACTCTCGAGTACAGTTATTGAGGCTAAAACGTTGTGAAGTTTTAAAAATAGGTTAGATAAATACATAAGGAGGGGTGTTAATGTTGCAGTTTAAAAACTGTAGTGTAAAGCACCCTTCTGGCAAGACAGTGATGGAGTGAATGATGGTGAAAGTTTTTCTTTTTCGGGCCACCCTGCCCTGGTGGGAATCGGCCAGTGTGATAATAAAATAAATAATAAATACATAAGTGGGTGTGGGTGGGCGAGAGTTGGACCTGACTAGCTTGTGCTGCTGGTATTTAAAGGTCTAGACATACTGACTCGACCGTTATTAAAATTACACTGTCATTATCTACTTGTTATTGTCGTCACCATTCCACTCGTATAAACAATGCAAGAAAAAACCAGCTTCGTAAAAAAATTAAGCAAATTTAGAAATATTTCTACCAGTTATGGAAAAAATGATGCTGGAGTTTTAAGGCACCCTGTGGGGAGTGGGGGCACCCCTATCTATGGCAAAAACCAAACCAAACTTCGTGGGAGAGCAGATAGGAGGGGGGATGCCCGCCCACCCCTTCGATGAAGCGCCCCCTCCCTCTTCATACTTGCTGAGACTTCTGTATGACATGAGTAGTCAAAAAAACGGCTGGGGGGCTCCTTCCGGAAAAGGCATGCGTCTGGAGGGCTCCTTCCGGTTTAGGGCCTTCCACTGGGAGGCTCCTTCCGGTTTAGGCCTTCCACTGGGCGGTGTATCCGGTCTAGGACCAGGAGCTGGAGGGTCACCTTTTCACACCTAGGTGTTACTTCCGGTTTTGACCATGACCTCGCCCTCGAGACTACCTCACCCTTGACCCCCCCAACCAATACCCCCACCCACGACCCCCCCTTCGCCACCCCGCCGTCGCGCCGCGCGCCCGCCCGCGCGCCCCGCCCGCGCCCTTCGCGACCCCCGCGCGCCCCGCCCGCGTGCCCGCCCGCGCCCTTCGCGACCCCCGCCCGCGCCTTCTGCTGCGCCTTCTGCGGCGTCGTCCGGATCGCCCCCGTGCCTCGAATTTTTTTTTCTTATGATCTCCTTGGATCCAGGTTTTTGGATTCTCCCCTATGGGGTTTCGAATTTTTTTTGAATTTCATTTTCTTGTGCTCTCCATCTCCTCGGATCAAGTTTTTTGGATCCCCCCTATGGGGTTTTCGAAATTCTCCATCTCCTCGGATCCCTCTCCCACTTTCACCCCCCAACCCCAAAAATTTCTCGATAATACAAGTTTTGGATTCCCCCCTATGGGGGTTTCGAAATTCTTATGATCTCCTCGGATCAAGTTTTTCTCGAAATCAAAGTCTCCATCTCCTTGGATCAAATTTTTGGATTACCCCTCCCACTTTCACCCACCCCCCAACCTCAAATTTTTCTCGATAATACCAAGACTCCATCTCCTTGGATCAAGGTTTTTTTGGATTCCCCCCTCTGGGGGTAAGCATTCAAATGAACTCCTCCTATGGGGCATGGTGCTCTCTCTTACTACAGGTCTAAACATCTTCCCCTTATTATTTTAAAATGAACTAAAAGTTTCCTCTCATTAATGTGTTTACTCGACGGTCAGTGACGTCAGTATTCCACTCATTAAGTTAAATGAACTAAAAAGGACCACACGCACAGGCTGAATCATGACGACCCTTTTTTAGTTCATTAAAGTTAATAAGGGGATATAGTACCTACATCATAGGGAAAACATTTTCATCATCAGAAAGTCACATTTTTTTTCGTTAATACCCACAACAATCCAACAATTTCTTTACAACACAAGTCTAGACATTTTTCTCGTTTTAACTATTTCATCTCAGGTCACTCCCCCACGAAGTAACCTCCTCCCCACCCTCCCGAACCCTCACACTCCAACCAACACCTCACAATTTTCACTCATAACCCCCAATTTTTCTCGTTTTAACCCTTTTAGTTCATTAAAGTTAATAAGGGGATACAGTACATCAGAAAGTCACCACAACACTTATAACCACTTTTCGATAAATTCACTAGTCACAATTTTACATATTACGAAGTTAAATACGCACTTTTACTTTGAACATCTTCAAAAACACTCATAAATCATTTGAATACTCACAAAAATACCTTTATACATTTCCAAACAATACTGAAATACTCCAAAAAACATCATTCGAACACCCCCAAATCACCTCTGAATACTCCCAGAACACCTTCATAAGTACTCTTGCACATCATTTGAACACCTTCAAAAAACACCTTTGAATACTCTCATAATCATTTGTACACCTTCAAAACACCCTTGATCACCTTCAAAAAACAACATTTGAACACACTCAAATCACCTTTGAACACCTTTGAACATCACCAAAACACTCTCATAAATCATTTGAATACTCACATAAACACCCTTGAACACCTTCAAACACCTTTGAACACCTTTGATCACCAAAAACACTCATAAATCATTTGAATACTCACAAACACCCTTGAACACCTTCAAAACAATCTTGAACACCTTCAAAAACACCTTTGAACATTTCCAATCAACACTGAAACACTTCCAAAAACACAATTTGAGTACTCCCAATTACACCACTGAATACTACTAAAACACCGCTGAATTCAATCAAAACACCCTTCAACACCTTCAAACACCCTTGAACACCTTCAAAACACTCTTGAACACCTTCAAAAACACCTTTGAACATTTCCAAAACACAATTTGAGTACTCCCAATTACACCACTGAATACTACTAAAACACCGCTGAATTCAATCAAAACACCCTTCAACACCTTCAAAACACCTTTGAAATATCGTTTTTTAAACTAATTTCATCACAACCCACTTATATCATCTTTTTTTCGGTATCTCTAATTCGACTACATTACCCACATCCCTCATCAATTACCAATTTATTCACATTTTTTTTCCCCTTCTTTTTACTACTAAAATTCTAATAAAATCCTCTCCATACCCACCTCCTTGTATCCACATAAATTAATATTATACTCGCATCAACTACCCAACTATTGCGATATGTTTTCAACACCCCCTCCATTCTTTTTCCAATATATCATAACTTTTCAATTCTAT